AGACGGGCGGAGAAACATGAAACATAAAAGGAGGGGAGAAAGAGGGTGAAAGAGAGAGAGAGAGAGGCATACGGAGACAAAAAAAGGAACAATATAACCAATATTAGCACAGCGAAGGACCCAACCATATGCAATTGTGAACACCGTCGTTGTATGCACCATTCGGAGGAGCTCCTTGTGGGGCCACGACACGTGTGAGGGGTGTACCAAAATGGGTGCGGTGGCCGCATGCGAACGTTGGCATTTAGGCTTTCGGCGGGGCTCACTGTGGGAACACGAAACGTGTGAGGGGTGTGCCAAAATGGGCGCGGTGGCCGCATGCGACCGTTGGCATTTAGGCTGTCGGTGGGGCTCTCCTGTGGGACCACGACACGTCTAAGGGGTATGCCAAAATGGGTGCAGTGGCCGCATGCGAACGCTGGCATTTGGACCTTCGGTGGGGCTCCCTGTGGGACCACGAAATGTGCGAGGGGTGTGCCAAAATGGGATGGGTGCGGTGGCCGCATGCGAACGCTAGCATTTAGGCCTTCGGTGGGGCTCCCTGTGGGGACACGAAACGTGTGATGGGTGTGCCAAAATGGGTGCGGTGGCCGCATGCGAACGCTGGCATTTGGGCCTTCCGTGGTGCTCCTTGTGGGACCACGAAATGTGCGATGGGTGTGCCAAAATGGACGCGGTGGCCGCATGCGAACGCTGGAATTTGGGCCTTCGGTGGAGCCCCCAGATGGTGCCCAGTCTTACGCGTCCCCGACAGTTGTGCCAAATCAGCGAGGGGTGTTACTGAAGGAGGTGAGGAGGAGTGAGAGGAGAGATAGATGAGGAGGAGAGGTAGAGGAGAAGGAGAGTAGAGAGAGGAGAGGAGAGAAGGAGATAAGGAGATGGTTATTAGAGAGAGATATGGAGAGGAGAAAAAAAAAAAAGACCAGGAGTGGAGATTGGATGGAGAGGAGAGGTCGAGGAGAGGAGAGGAGAGAGGAGAGGAGAGGAGAGGAGAGGAGAAGAACGCCAGGACCGCCTCTTCAAAACGAGGACCCAACACCACAGGCTGGTTTGGGGAAAAAGGAGAGAGCGAGAGAGAGAGAGAGAAAGTGAAAGACGGACAGAGACGGACAGACATCTAACGAACAGACGGGCAGAGCGAGAGAGAGAGAGAGAGAGAGACACACACACACACACACGCACACACACTCAAACAAACACTTGGGTGCCGCGGCCCTGCGCACGGCGACAGGGAGCAGGTCGGGAAACAGTGAAGCGCACGCCTACGCTCGCCCGAGCGCTCAGACGCTACTGCGGGCCTCATTTACACCCACACACACACACACACGCACGCAGGCACACACACACACACACACGCGCACACACACACACGCACACACACGCACACACGCACACACACACACACACACACACACACACACACACCACACACACACACACACACACACACGCACGCACGCATGCACCCCCCACACACACAACACACACACACACACACACACACACAACCCGACACACACACAAACACACTCACACACACACACACACACACACACAACACACACACACACACGCCACACACCACACACCACACACACGCGCCAACACATGTTCTTCTAAGTCGGCGGCGCAGAGGGTCCCAGGCGCGTGTCGGGCATGTGGATGTGCCACTTGCGAACGACCTAGACCGACGCCAACGAAGAAAGAGCGATGCCGACGGCATGCAGATTGTGGTGCAGCGGTAGGCATAGGCGCTGCAATGCCAAAGTGCAGCGGGCAAAAAAAAAACCAGAGCAAAAGCTCTGTACTCTGGTAGTTTGAAGCGCAAGCAGCAGTCTGATGCTACTTGAAGCCTCAGGAGACAGCAACGAAAAAAAACTCGAAGGCTGCCAAAGCAGCCAACTCAGTGGCGGTACGTACATTACACGCAAGTAAACTGCGCGACAAAGCAACGCCACCGAATTTGCAGCGAGCACATAACAGATTGAGCGACCGTGCGACAGGGTGCATGAGGTCGGCGTGATAAAAAAAATCACGCGGCCGAGGTTGACTGAACCTTGGACAACAAAAAGAAGACTGAACGCGGGCGGCCGAGAGCAGCAGCCGCGAAACGCGGCGGCGCACACGGATGGTGGACAGGCGCTGGCATGGCCAAGCGTGCAGTGCAGACGCCAGCGTTAAAACGGTTACTTCGCCCACACAGTCACACGCGCTTTTTGGCGTCGCGGCCACGCCCGCGGTGGCGCGGCGTAGGAACAAACACACACACACACACACACACACTTTTTGGTCTGTGGGTCGAGAGCGAACCACTTCCGGTTAAGAGCTAGGCGGGCCGCGCAAAGCACTAATTGGGGAGACAGAGCACAGGCGGGCGGGGCCTCAGGCGGCCGGAGGGCGCAGGGTGCAGAGGCGGACACACACACACACACACACACACACACACACACGCACACACACACACACGCACACACACACGCACACACACACACACGCGCACACGCGCACACACGCACACGCACGCACGCACACGCACGGACACGTCTCGGCCGTCGCCGGCGGGAGCGAGGGCCGGCACCTCACGGGGCAGCGGCCGGGCGGGGAAGCGCCGGCGGACGGCACGGCGGGGCAGCGGGGCAGCGCTGGGCGTCGGGCGGCGGGAGGACGGGGGCCGCGCCCTACAGGGCAGTTTTTAATACATGGGATTTTTTGAAAATATTTGATTTCTAATACATGAGTAATTCATGCATAAATTTATGCATGAGCTCATCGTTGTTATTTTATTGGTACTAAAAGCCTGCATTTTGAATTCATGAGCCGCACGCGGAGCATGTATTAAAAACGGCACTGCACGGGGAGCAGCCAGGCAGCGCCAGAGAGCGCCAGAGGGCGCCGAGCCGCGGAGGGCGGCAGAGGGGCGCAGAGGCCGGCGGCAGAGGGGGGGCGGTGCCCGCGCCGGAGCCGGGCGGGCGGGCGGCGGCGCCCGCGCGCAGCGGAACCAGAGGGGGGGGGAGGGAGCCAGCGGCCAGCCAGGCCGAGGAGACGCTGGGAGGCGGGGCGGCGAGGGCGGGGGGGAAGGGGCGCCGAGGAGTGGCGGCGGGGGGGGGGGGGAGGAAGCACCAGCGAGCAGTGGCGGCGGGGCGGCGGGGCGAGGGCGGGGAGAAGGGGCGCCGAGCGCGAGCCAGGGGCGGGCGCAGCGGGAGGCGGGGCAGGCAGGAGCCGCAGAGCGCCCGTGCTCCAGGGCGGAGACCGGCGAGGTCCAGGGGCCAGCGGAAGCGCAGGCGAGGCGGCCACCGCTGAGAGCCCACCCAGGGCCCTGAGGGCCGACGTCGCGAAAAACTTGCAGCATCGCCTGGGGCCCCCGAAGACCATCTTTCTGCATCGTTGTCCGAGCCGGGTCGCGACAGCGAGCGAAAGCGCCCCGTGCGAAAAAAAGTGCAGCGCCAGGATCTCAGGGGAGATCAAGCCAAGCCTTTGGAGTCCCGAAACGGTGCGGTGACGGACCGTGCGGTGACCTCGATCCCCCAAGACCTCACCGCACGGTCCGTCACCGCACGGTCTTGGGACCTCGGATGCCCCAGTCGCCCGAGACGTCCTCGGGGAACGGACTCGGGTCCCAAAACCGTGCGGTGACCCCGAATCCCCACCGACTCACCGATCGGTGTGGTCACCACCCCGTTTGTGGGCCCCCGACAAGCCGAGGGAGGGGGGGCACCGACCGGGGAAGGCAGCGGGCCGCGCAGCGCCAGGGCTCCACGGCGGAGGCGAGCAGGGGCCGCGGGGGCATGCGGGGGCGGGCACCGACGGGGGCAGGCGACGGGCCGCAAGGAGCAAAGGGGGCCACCACCGAGGAGAAGGCCACGGAGGCTCACGCTAGCGCTGCGCCGCCTCCTCGTCCTCCTCCTCCTCCTCCTCCTCCTCCTCCTCCTCCTCCTCCTCCTCCTCCTCCTCTCTCCTCACTCCTCCTCCTCCATCCTCCTCCTCCTCCTCCTCCTCCACCTCCTCCTCCTCCTCCTCCTCCTCCTCTCTCTCCTCCTCCTCGTCGTTCTGTCATCCATACCACGCTCCGACGCTCTCCTCCTTCCTCCTCCTCCCTCCTCCTCCTCCTCCTCCTCCTCCTCGTTCTCCTCCTCGACCTCCTTCTCCGCCACGTCTCCTCATCCTCCTCCTCCACCTCCACCTCCTCTCTCCTCCTTCCTCCTCCTCCTCCTCTCCTCCTCCTCCTCCTCCTCCTCCTCCTCCCCTCCTCCTCCTCCTCCTCCTCGTCGTTCTCCGCTCCTCTCTCCTCCTCCTCCTCCTCCTCCTCCTCCTCTCCACCTCCCTCCTCCTCCTTCCGCCTCCTCCTCCTCCCTCCTTCCTCCTCCTCCTCCTCCTCCTCCTCCTCCTCCTCCTCGACGTTCTCCTCCACCCTCCTCCTCGTCGTTCTCCTCCTCCTCCTCCGTTCATCCTCCTCCTCCTCCTCCTCCTCCTCCTTCCTCCTCCCGCTCGGCCCTCCTCCTCCTCCTCCTCCTCCTCCTCCACCTCCTCCTCCTCCTCCTCCTCCTCCTCCTCCTCCTCCCCTCCTCCTCCTCCTCCTCCTCCTCCTCCTCCTCCTGGCCCACGGGCTCGAGAGGCAGTCTCTCTCTGTTCATCTGTTCTTGCTTGTAGCCGACGCAGCGCGGTGGAGCGGGAACGCGTCCAGTGTGGAGAGCGGGGCGAAGAGGCTGGGGGTCCACACCAGCCAGGAGGAGGCGAGGCAGCGGCCAGAAGAAGCCAGCGGCAGCCGACGCGCCGATCGGGAGCGCGGGTGAACCCAGGACCGCAGACAGCGCCACACACACACAGACACAGACACACACACACACACACACACACACACACACACACACACACACACACAGCACGCACGCACGCACGCACGCACGCCCACACCCACACCCACACCCACACCCAGCCCACACCCACCCCACACCCACACCCACCCACCCACACCCACGACACCCCACACACACACACACACACACACACCCACCCACCCCACGTCCACCCACAACACACACACACACACATCACGCACGTGCACGGCGCACGCACACGCGCACAGCGCACGCGCACAGCGCACAATGGCGCACAGCACACGCCGCACGCACAACTCACACTGCACACACAACGCACACACACACGCACACGCACACGCTCACGCACGCCCACACACACACACACCCCACACACACATCACACACACACAGCACACACACACACACAGCAACGCACGCAAGTCGCACTACAGGCAGACGCACGCACGCACGCACGCACTCACGCACGCACGCTCTGCCTCGCTCAGCTCGCATCGCTCGCTCGAGCAACGACGCACGAACACGCACGCACGCAACACACACACTACATCACGCACGCACGCACGCACGAGCCCCACACCCACACCCACACCCACACCCACACCCACACCCATACCCACCACACCCCCAAAAACCCACCCACAACCCACACACCCACACACACACACACACACACCCACCCACCCACCCACCCGACCCACACACACACACACACAACAGCACTCACGTTGTCACGCGCACGCACACGCGCACGCTCACTCGCACGCGCACAGCGCAACGCACACGCGCACGATCCCCACACACAGCTACACACGCACGCACGCACGCACGCACGCACGCACGCACGCACGCACGCACGCACGCACGCACGCACGCACGCACGCACGCACGCACGCACGCACGCACGCACGCACGCACGCACGCACGCACGCACGCACGCACGCTCGCTCGCTCGCTCGCTCGCTCGCACGCACGCACGCACGCACGCACGCACGCACAGCACATAGTCTCCCTGGGAAGCGGGGAGGAGAGAGACGGGTGTGTAATTGTATACCTGCGTATACGTGCCATTATACGTGTCATCTTTGTGTATGTATGCATTCAGATAGAGAGAGATAGGGAGAGATAGGGAGAGATAGAAAGAGATCGAAAGGGAGAGAGAAGGAGAGCGAGAGCGCGAGAGAGAGAGAGACAGAAAGAAAGAGAGAGAGAGAGAGGAGAAATGAGAGGGGGAAATGCATGTGTGTGCGTCGCGCCTGTATGTTTGTGTATATGCACATATGTATGTTTGTGGATGTGTATACAGACATAAGCATGTATATGCATACATGTGTATGTATATATATATATGTGTGTGTATGTGTGCGTATGTCCGCCACCGTGCCGCGTGACACGTTGAGGCGTGGAAGAATACCAAGCGCTGCCTGGCAGGATTTCTGTGGTCATCTAAGGCCCCCCCTCTCATCGCACCCAGCCGCGTGCGCCACCACTACTCCCGATGCCACAATCCCTCGCCTCCGAGACGGCCCGATATCGCTGCAAGACGGGCCGCCTTGGCCTCAAGACGGCCCAAGATGACTTCCAGACGGCCAGCGAAGCCGTTGAGGCGTCCCAAGAGAGCCCACGACTGCCCAAGAGGGCCCCAAGACGGCTCCAAGAAGGGCGTAAGAATTCGAGCCCTCTGCCCCCAAGAGGCCCCCAGCAGGCCCCCTAGCCTTCTCGAACATCTGCCACACAGAATGCTGCGCCAGCACGGTGGCGGAACTGCCGGAGGCAGCTGGATCCAGCCAACGCGATGCTAGCCACAACAGCCAACAAAAACGTTCCCGGCTTCCAGCAACTCGAGACGGCCCAGGAGTCCTCCGAGATCGCTCCACAACGGACCCAGGGGCCCCCGGGGGAGCCCCAAGACGGCCCCAAGAGGGCACCAAGACAGCCCCAGAGCCCCCCCCCGAGGCGGCCCCAAGACCCCCTACAAGAGGGCCCCCGAGACCGCCCGCGGGCCCCTGGGAGGCCTCCCGCCCTCCAGGGGCCCCCAAGACGCCCCACGGTCCAACGAGGAGCTCTCCAACGAGGAGCTCTCCAACGAGGAGCTCTCCAACGAGGAGCTCTCCTGCAGAGGAGCTCTCCAACGAGGAGCTCGCCGAGGAGCTCTCCAACGAGGAGCTCGCCGCGCCGCCCCGGCCCTCTGGCAGCGCCCGAGCGGAGCCGAAGACGGCAGCAGCCGCCCGCCGCCTCCGCGCTTCCCTCGCGCGCCCAGCTCGGGCGGCGCTCCCTCGCTGGGGCGCTGCCGCGGCGGGCGGGCGCCGGGCGCGCCCCTCCCCCGCCACGGCGAGGGCCCCCTGACCCGAGGGCCCCCCCCGAACAGCAGGTCACACGGCCCCCTCGTCTCTCGAGCCTTTCGAGCGCGGCTCTGTGCCTCCGCGCGGAGGCGCAGCCGCTGCTCCCCCTCGTCTTTCTGCCTCCTCCTTCGCCCTCTCCGTGGCCTTCTACTCCTCCGCCCGCGCCTCCTCATTGACCACACTCGGCTGCCCCTGCTCCTCTCCGCCCAGTGCGTCGGCGAGAAGGCGCAGCCTTCACGGAACAAGTGCCCACCGATGCTCGTGCCCGCTCTGCCAGCTGACGACGCAGTGTGACCGAATGCACGATATGCACAACTCGGCGGCGCGCCCAGTGCGGAAGGCAGCTGGGACGGGCCCTCTCAGAAGGCTCCGACGGCAGGAGGCGCCGCCTTCTGAGAGGGCCTGCCCCCTCTCAGGCTGAGAGGGCCTGCCCCCACCTCGCCTCCCCCCTCGGCGCGCCGCCAGACAACGCCCGAAGCAGACAGGATCGCCCGACGAGGCCCCACTTGAGGCGGGGCGGGGAGGCGAAGCTGGGTCAGAGGACGGACGGACGCGCCTGTCGCAGGCGCTCGGACAGCGACCAGGAGCCGCGGACGTTCGCCTGGGGAGCCAGGGGGGAGAGGCACCGGCACGGGCAGAGGCCCGGAGGCAGCGGGGGGGGGGCGGGAGGCAGGGCGAGGGAGCGGGGGGCGCGGGGGAAGAGGCATGGACGCACAGAGGCAGAGACGGACAAGGGCGCACGCACGTAGGCATGGACCTGCTGCCGAGGGTGCGAACGGGCACAGGTGCGGACGACCACGGACAGAGAGAGAGACTGGGCGAGGGGCCTTCCCGCTCACTCGCCAGCTCTCCCTCTCCCCCCCCTGCTACCCAATCTCTCGGCCCTATTCCTCGCCCGTCTTGCCTGCTTTGCCCTCTTCTGCCGCAGCGGAGAAGCATCACCACCTGGCCCAGCTTGGCACTGACTTCTCCAGTATGGACAGAGCGCCTTGGCACTGACTTCTCCAGTGTGGACAGAACGCCCGATTGCGGGGCACCGGGTTCTCGCTGTCAGGTCGCACATCAAGCAGCTCCTCCTGGCCCATGCCGGTGAACCCACGCGCCAAAGCCCCCCTCCTGGGCCCTACGCTGCCCGAGTCAAGTCGCGCCGCAGCGCGGCAGGTGTGGTGCTGGCGACCTCGAGTTCTGTGGTCGGCAGCGCCGATGACCGAGGAGCCGAGGTGGGTCCACTCACGTGGCACGCCGCGCTCGAGGTGGGCACCACGAGTCTCAGCTTGCAGCGCGGCGAGGACGGGGCCCTCTGCAGCTCGCCCGGCCACAGGGACCGCCTCCGGCCCGAGGATGGCACGGCCTCGCCTCCCACTCGAGCAGGGGAACTCGGAGGAGCGCCGGTGCTCGCTGCTCCGCGTCAGCCTGGGCGCAGCGGCCGCGCGCGAGGGCGGGGGCGACCCCCTCGGGGCACGCGGCTGTCCCCCTCCTCCTCCTCCTCCTCCTCCTCCTCCTCCTCCTCCTCCTCCTCCTCCTCCTCCTCCTCCCTCCTCCTCCTCCTCCTCCTCCTCCTCCTCCTCCTCCTCCTCCTCCTCCTCCCCTCCTCCTCCTCCTCCTCTCCTCCTCCTCTCTCCTCCTCCTCCTCCTCCTCCTCCTCCTCCTCCTCCTCCTCCTCCTCCTCCTCCTCCTCCTCCTCCTCCTCCTCCTCCCTCCTCCTCCTCCTCCTCTCCTCCTCTCCTCCTCCTCCTCCTCCCCGAGCGTCGGCCATCCACTCGCGGACCGAGCTTCGGGCACCTCGAAGCGCGTGCTGCGCCACCGCGGGGGGGGGGGGGGGCCCGACGCCGGCCACGGCGTCCGAGGCCGGCCCGGCCTCTCGGGCCCGCAGCGCGCTGCGTCCCCACCACGGCAGGGGCTACCGCTGCTGTAGTGGCCTGCCTGATGGTGGCGCACCAGGTGGCACCCACTGCACGTCGCCGTGTCATCCCGCGCGGACGGCTCTGCGTGGGCCAGCTCGTGGTGGGGACCGACCTGGGGGCCGACGAGCACGTCATCCCGTTGCCGATTTGGCGGGGCACACGCGCCTGCTCGCGGCGCACACCTGGGATGCTGAGCCCACGAAGACCTTTGCGACGGCGAGATGTTCCCCCTTCAGCCTGCCCCCCAGCGCGCGCCCACTTACATGACTTTGCAAGTAGTCCGACGCCCCCACCACAAGACCAAGACTGCACACGCGTTCGAAATCCTTCGACGAAATTCGTCGCCTGGCGGGCCACTCGCCTTCCGGCTCGGCAACCCGCCTCTGCTCGGCGCACGGGTGATCGCGATCGTCCATCCAAGTGTGGTCGGAGCCATTCGTGGCCTCGTGCAGCCCGGCCCGCATGGCGGTCGGCTGCAGCTCGTCACTCGGCGGGCGAACGCCCCTGGGCCCCTTCGGAGGGGAGGGCGGACCACTGCGCAGGCTCTGGTTGACCGTTGAGGCCTGCTCGGCCTTCTCCGCGGATCGCGATTGCTCGACCCATCCGTCCATTTTACCCAGGTTTGTCTTCGGCCTTTTTATTCGGGCTCCCTCGTCGGGACAGCTGCATCGCCACCGAATAATGGAGCTCGCCCATGCGCTGGATGGGCTCGTACGACTTGGAGCACTCCCCTGATTTCGGCGCCTTTGGGGCAGTGATCGGGGTTCGTAAGCGGACGACAAAGTAGGAGGAGGAGGAGGAGGAGGAGGAGGAGGAGGAGCACGGATGAGAGGAGGAGTGGAGAGGAGGAGGGGACGCAGGAGGGGAGGAGGGGGAGGGAGAGGGGAAGGAGGAGGGGGGGAGGAGGAGGAGGCGAGGAGGAGGAGAGGAGGAGGAGGAGGCGGAGGGTGGAGGAGGAGAGGAGGAGGAGGAGGAGGAGGAGTCGCCGCTCCCCAGCAGATAGGATGTCCGTCCTTGCCGCGAGGAGCGCGCGCCACCGACCGGATCTGCTCGGCCTCGGCCAGCGGCTCGCCCGCCGAGGCAGGCTCGTTTGGGCTGGTGGGGCACGCAAAACGCGCGGAAAACAAAAAGGCGGGTCGCTTTCACAGAGGGCGGTGGGGGTCAACGGAGCACGGGGCACGGCGAAGCGGAAGGAAAAGGGCGTCCTCTCTCCTCCTCCTCGTCCTCCTCCTTCTCCTTCCTCCTCCTCCTCCTCCTCCTCCTCCGCCTCCTGTTCCTCCTTCCTTTTCCTTTTCCTCCTCCTCCTCCCCTCCTCCTCCTCCTCCTCCTCCTCCTCCTCCTCCTCCCCCTTCCTTCCTTTCTTCCAGAGCAGTCCTCTAGCTGCACCTCCTCCTCGGGTACGTCCAATGTTTGAATCCCCCCGGGGTACATCCAAGTTTTGAAGCATGCGACGATTGCATGTATGGGCGGGGGGAAGTTTCAAAAACTGCGGCTCCCGCTCCGTCGCCGCACACGCACACGTGCCTCGTATGAGCTTGCAGTGGGCATGCAGCTGGGAGCGGGCCGTCTTCATTCAGGGGCTCTCACTTGAGGTGCGAACCTGGAGATGCGGAGCAAGTACACAGACAGCGGGGAGGGCTATTCTTCAATATATGGCTATCGCCTGAAACCATCATTGCCTTCCAGCGCGAGCGTCTTAGAATGTGTACTGCGCAACACGTACACGCATGGGGGGCGCTTCTGGTTCAGATCTAGATTCCCGCCCGAAGCGCCCTTTGGAATGTCTGACCCTACACCCTGTCATGTCCTATGCTTCCAAGCATAGTCGGGGGCGCGCAAACATGGATTAGCGATCCATGGACTTGGCGCGCGGTCGCCAAATCCATGGATCGGGGGAGGTGCCCTCCCCAAGATGCGGCTGGTGTCGCCTCGTTCGGCGGCGGAGATCCGCCATTCCCCGTGGAAACGGGACCCGTCGCTGATCCACGCCCCCGTAATCCACGTTTGCGATCGCCTGACTTGAAGGGGCACAAACAAATAGACACGCATGACAGGATTCCCCATATTTTCCCGTACTTTCGGGGTTCTTGTCTTCCCCCCCCCCAATTCCAATATTTTCCCACGTGTTCTGGGGAATCGACGATTGATTGTGTCTGTGTTTTTTGTTCCCCCTCCTGATGACTGTCATGTCCTTGGCTTCCCAAGCATAGGGGGCGGCCTTCTTCGGGGATCTTCTAACCCGGGTCAATCCAGACCCGGGTCAGCGGGAAACCAAAAACCTGCAATACAAGAGAAAAACAAAAAAAAAAAAAAAACTGCTACGCAGGTCTTCGCAAACCCGGGTCAGCCAATATGCGCGGCCGCCTCGCGGCCACGAGCGGCTCGCTAACCCGGGTCAGCCAGAGGGGGTCTTCGCAGGATCCTGCAGGATCCGGTGCCCTCTCGACTTCTGTCTCAAGCGAGCCCCGTTTGCATTGACCCCCGTTTGCATTGACCCCCGCCTCAAGGCTCCCGACTTCTGTCTCAAGCGTAGCTCCCGCTCGATTAGCAGGCCACGGGCGCCCGTCCCTCGAGGGAGGGCTCCCTCGCAGCGAGAAGGATGAAGGGGCCCAGGGACACACACACACACACACACACACACGCACACACACACACACACACACACACACACACGCACACACACACACACACACGCACACACACACACACACACACACACACGCACACACACACACACACGCACGCACGCACGCACGCACACACACAACACACACACACAACAAAAAAATGCACACGGATCCCAGGACTCCACACACTTCTCCAAATGTTCTGCGCTTTCGTCTTCCCCCCCATGTCCCATATGTTCCCATATGTTCTTTGGAATCGACGACTGATTGATTATATCTGTGTGCCTTCCCCCCTGAAAAGCATACTTATGTGGAGGAAGGAGGGAAACTCGGGACGGGAAGGTACGTGGCAGAATTGTGGGCGCGCCCTCGGCTTACTCTGGCCAGCCTCCCGCTCCCCCTGCTCCCCCCCGCCAGCCTCATCCGGAGACTGAACGTCCCCGCCTGCTCATCCTGCTCCTGCGCCTCCCCCCGTCAAGCCCCCTGCTCCTCCTGCGCCTCTCCCGCCAGCCTCCTACCCTTAAGTCGGGCCTGTCCCCCTACAGGGGGATTTTGGGCAAAAAATTAAAGATGCTCAACAAATACTCCCAAAATGCTCAAAGATAGTCTAAAAATAGTCCCCAGACTATTTTTTGACTATTTTTGGATATTCCCCCTGTAGAGGGACGGGCCCGACTTAATCCTACCCCTCCTGCTACTCTGCTCCTCCTGAGAGATGGGGGGGAGGGGGGGCGCGAGCCTCGTCCGGGGACTGGACGTCCCCAGGCAGGGCGCCGAGGAGAGCCGCCGCCTGGGAGCCGCGGGCGCGTCCGGGGCGGCGCGGAGGCGAGGGCGGCGGGGGCGGCGAGGACGCGGCCGCAGCAGAAGGGGAGGAAGCCCCGACTCCCCAGCATCGCGCAAAAAGGAAAGCACGACGGGCCTTTCCCCCCCGATCGTGCAGAAAGAGGGCCCGGGGCCCACACGGGTCGGCGCGGCCCGAGGAGCCCCTGCGAGGTGATGTTTTTCCCCACATGCTTCGTGGGGTTCCGGTCTTGTTCCCACCCGCGTCGCACCCGCGTCTTCCTCACCTCCCGCCTCCTCCTTTCTCCTCCTCCTCGTCCTTCTTCCCTTCACCCACACGCAACACATGCACTGCACGTGCATCAGACACGCGTCTACATGCGGCCGCACGCATGCACACACTCGCACGCACGCAAGCACGCACGCACGCACACACGCACGCACGGACGGACGGACGCACACACACACACACACACACACACACACACACACACACACACACACACAACATACACCATACAACGCTAGAGCACGCCTGGCGTGTTCATAGCATCATACACCCAAGACGTATGCACAAGATATTGGGCACCCACATGAGGCACACGTCCCGATACGGCCGCACACGCATCATACATTTACACATCACACGCCATACACAAATCGCACGTGTAGGATGCGCAGGGCACGGCAGGCATGGCACCTTGTCGACACCAGAGGGAGTGCGTTGGGGGTGGTCATTGAACGCGGTGTATGTCTACGACACTGTCGCACCTAGCAGGCGTGGCATGTTCGATACCCATCGGGGGTGCGCACGAGGTGGTCCCTGAGCGCGGCCGCTATCCGTGCCGGCCGTCCAGGGCGTAGCAGGCGTGGCAATTTCCCGACACCATGGGGGGTGCGCACGAGGTGGTCCCTGAGCGCGGCCGCTATCCGTGCCGGTCGTCCAGGGCATAGCAGGAGTGGCTTTTCTCGACACCATACGGGGTGCGCAGGAGGTGGTCCCTGAGCGCGGCCGCTATCCGTGCGGGTCGTCCAGGGCGCAGCAGGCGTGGCACTTGGGGGGTGCGCACGGGGTGGTCCCTGAGCGCGGCCGCTATTCGTGCCCGTCGTCCAGGGCATAGCAGGAATGGCACTTTCTCGACACCATGGGAGGTGCGCACGCGGTGGTCCCTGAGCGCGGCCGCTATCCGTGCTGGTCGTTCAGGGCGTAGCATGCGTGGCACTTTCGACACCATTGGGGGTGCGCACGGGGTGGTCCTTGAGCGCGGCCGCTATCCGTGCCAGTCGTCCAGGGCATGGCAGGAGTGGAACTTTCTCGACACCATAGGGGGTGCGCAGGAGGTGGTCCCTGAGCGCGGCCGCTATCCGTGCCGGTCGTCCAGGGCATAGCAGGTGGTCCCTAAGCGCGGCCGCTATCCGTGCTGGTCGTCCAGGGCATAGCAGGAGTGGCACTTTCTCGACACCATAAGGGGGTGCGCAGGAGGTGGTCCCTGAGCGCGGTCGCTATCCGTGCCGGTCGTCCAGGGAATAGCAGGCGTCGCACTTTCTCGACGCCATCGGGGGGTTGCAGGTCGTGGTCTCTGAGCGCGGCCGCTATCCGAGCCGGTCGTCCAGGGCGCAACATTCGTGGCACTTTCTCGACACCGTAGGGGGTGCGCAGGGAACAGCCACCAACATCATTCTCACATGCTTCGACTCAGCTAGCATCACTCCAGCCATAGTGTAAGTATGTGGGTTTCCTCGGTAGCGCAATTGTGCAACGACGTCGGGCATCGGGCAGGGAGGAGTGGGGCGGCCCGAGGAGCCCTGCGAGGCGACTTGTTGTTCAACGACGTCAGGCATCGGGGGAGGAGGAGGAGGAGGAGGAGGAGGAGGAGAGGGGGAGGGAGAGGGAGGAAGGAGGAGGAGAAGGAGGAGGAGAGAGGAGAGGAGGGGGGAGGAGGGGGGATGAGGGGAGGAGGAGGAGGAGGAGGAGGGAGTAGGAGGAGGAGGAGGAGGAGGAGGAGGAGGGAGGAGGAGGAGGAGGAGAGGAGGAGGAGGAGGGGGAGGAGGAGGAAGGAGGAGAGGAGGAGGAGGAGGAGGAGGAGGGAGGAAGGAGGGGAGAGGAGGAGGAGGAGGAAGAGACGAGGGGGTCGCAAGTCCAGCTGCCCAACCCGAGCCCTAACGTGAACGGGAGGGAGCCGAGCTGTGGAAAGGAACCCCCAGTGACACCCAGGGGAGGCATCAGGGCACATGGGGCAGGCGGCCAGCGAGGCTGGGCCAGCCGCGCACGGCGGACGCCCGAGGCCACCCGCCGGGGCGGAAGGCGACGGCCTTGAGTGCACAAGCGCATTCCACTGCTCGCGAAGCAGCTGATCGCAAATGGCCGGGATCCGTCGCGGGGGGTCCACGATACGTTCCATGGAGGAAGGCGTGTTCTTGTTCGGACGTTTGCGAGCAGGCACTCCTCGGCATCTCCCTCCCACCGCACCTGCCCTCCGCCTCCCCTCCCCGCCCTGGGAGGGAGGAGGAGGAGGAGGGGGGAGGAGGAGGAGGAGGACGAGGAGGAGGAGGAGGAGGAGGAGGAGGAGGAGGAGGGAGGAGGAGAGCGCGCTCGGTGATGGAGCCCACAGAAGGCCTCGAGGGGAGGGCTCTCCAGGGGACGCGGAGCGCGCCACGCCTCGGCCGGGCAGGCCGAGGGGGGGCGGAGGGCGGAGGCCTGGAGCCCCGAGAGGGCCTCGGTCGAGGGGGGGGCTCCAGAGGGGGCTCCAGGACAGGGCTGAACCCGAGCGGTGTCTCTCGTTTTCGCTGTCTTTGCTTGCCCTCGCTCTTGTCTTCCAGTCCGCCTGCACCGCAAAGAACGGAATCGAGACGAAAGAGCGGCCCTCGCTCCTGCCTTCAGTCCGCCTGCGCCGCAAAAAGCGGAAATCGAGACGAAAGAGCGGCCCAGGAGATCGCCAAAGAACACCGTTCGGGCCCAGCCCTGCTCCGGGGCTGCAAAAAGGGGGGAGAACGGGGGCGAACCGGAGGGCGGGTGGCGCTGGAGCTTGCCGCGCGCCGCCAGGGCAGCGGCAGGCCCGCTGCGCCTCCCACAGAAACCTCCCACCAAAACCACAAAAAAAGACACCCGGCCGCTCAGGAGGAAGGAAGGGCCACAAAATACACCAAAAGACCACCAATGCCACAAAAAATACACCACAATACACACAAAATACACCACAATACATACAGGACTACGTCACAATACATCACAAAGTACATCACAAAATACATCACAAAATACACCCCAATACACACAAAAAGACCACAGAACCCACAGAATGCACCGCCCACCAAAACCCTCCCGGAAGGGAGGCCTGCCGCTCTCTCGGGCGCGGAGCCCAGGCCGGGCGTCTTCACAAGAGAGCACACGCTCGCACGGGTGGACTTCACGGCAGGGGCCCCAGAGCACACCAATAAATACACACAAATAAAACGATTCCCCATATTTTCCCATATTTTCTGGATTTTCGTCTTCCCCCCCACTTCCCATATTTTCGCATATTTTCTGGGGGATCGACGATTAATTGTGTCTGTGTGTTTCTTCCCCTCCTGATTCACGGCAGGGGGACCAGGGCAGGGCCCCTCAGATGTCTTGAAACACTCTCGACGACATGCAAAGGGTCAGGTCCACATGCTTCACAGATCGCAGCAGCACCCCGTCGTATCATACGGTGCCCGGGAGCGCGACAGGCGGGGGGCAACTCGAGCGGAATGCCTTGTTGTACGACTCGACCGTCGTCGTTTTCTTGAGGCACACCCTGCAGCGTACCGTGCCTTCGTCAACTGCACAGACATCGTGCGGCGTGCTAGACGACTGTGGCACCATGATGTTGTGCCGGTTGTTCTCCGCCTGACCTCGCCAACGCCGTTGTGCCATATGACGGCTCTGGCAGCAAGAGAACCAATGTACTGAGCCATGTCCAGTGCGCCCCGCCCTGATTGTAGCACGATGGTGGTATGCCAGCACGTACGCGACCCTGACGTCGACCGCCCAGCTGTATGCGAACAGGTCTGTCCGGCCGTTGCCAGTCGCACGTCGGGCTCGCCCTCCTCGGCTGACGAGCTTCGCGATGCCCTTGCGGCTGGGGCACCCACTCAAACGACGTGTTTCCCTCGCCATTATCACAGAGACGAAAAAGAAGGAGGAGGAGGAGGAGGAGGAGCAGAAGGCGCAGAGGGAGAAGGAGAAGGATAAGGAGAAGAAGAAGAAGATGAGCCACAAGCTGGCAAATCTGCTTCTGGAGCTGCAATGGTACGAACCCTAAGCGTCACCCTCGATGACGAACGATAGACGATCAGAAGCAATAACACCTGGTCGTTTCATCACATCGGGTGCGTTCATGCTAACATGCCGCTCGGCACGAGGGACTGAGTGGAAGCGACACGGCCTTCCAACATACACAGCCCGAATTGGATACCCTGACCTAGAGAACACAATCGCACCACAGACCCGCCTGTCCGAGCCACCGTAAGGTGCGAATCATGCGGGTGTCTAGATCGGGGGCTTGTTGAGGCCTAATTCGCCCGCGGGAGCGCGAAGATGATCGCCTTTTCCGTGTCCCGGTCTGGGCCAGAGCGGCTGCCCTTCTCCGAGGACGCGGCGCGAGGGCGCGAAGACAGTCGCGCACCGCAGGTCGCGGGGCGCGAAGTGGGGCAACCGTTCCTGAGATCCGACGTTGCCAAAAAAATGCCACATTGCGAGACCTTTGGGTAGTTCTCCCTCGGGTGGTGGTGGCTGGACGGGCTCCCTGGACATGCAGCACGTCAACTCGAACGTTCCGGCATATCCTGGAGTGGTGTCGATTTGATCCTGCTGTAACGTCTGTCTTTCTTTCTCGGGGCCTAGGTCACATGATGGACAGCCAGCTGCCTACTTCAAGCGTGAGTTCCCTCACAGCCTCGACCACTTCATCTAGAGCAATCGATTCAGCCGTGAAGGAAGAAATCCAATTGCTGATAAAAGTTCCTGCTATGATTATCGGGGTCGTCCT